ATATATTAAATAAAGAAATTAATGGAAAAATAAGTTTATAAATAGTAATTAAAATTTTAATGATAATATAAAATAATAGAATTAAATAAATAATATAGTTAATAATTTTAAAAAAATAAAAAAACTTCAAAAATAGTGGCGCTATGGCCTATAGCGACACTGTGTCACTATAGCCCATAGCGACACTGGAGACAGTTGAAAAAATTTATGACCCCATAGCCACGTGTCAAATTACCGCGATTTTAACCAATAATAATTTGACACGTGGCCTGAAACAGTAAAAAAAAAAATAACCTCTATATAAGAGAGTTTTTACCTTCAGTTGATGGTCCCCACTTCGTTTTTCAGCTGCCAGTGCCCATAGCGTGAATCAGGTAAGTATTTTTTTTCGTTTCTTTAATTTAATTATAATTTCTTTATATTTAAATATTTTGTAACTTATATATATTTTAATTATTATTTCAGGTTAATTTTGTTTTTCTGAATTTTAATTAAATAAATAATATAGTTAATAATTTTAAAAAAATAAAAAAAAAACTTAAAAAATAGTGGCGCTATGGCCTATAGCGACACTGTGTCGCTATAGCCCATAGCGACACTGATGGCAGTTGAAAAAATTTATGACCCCGTAGCCACGTGTCAAATTACCGCGATTTTAATCAATAGTAATTTGACACGTGGCCTCAAACAGTAAAAAAAAAAATAACCTCTATATAAGAGAGTTTTTACCTTTAGTTGATGGACCCCCACTTCGTTTTTCAGCTGCCAGTGCCCATAGCGTGAACCAGGTAAGTATTTTTTTTCGTTTCTTTAATTTATAATTTCTTTATATTTAAATATTTTGTAACTTATATATATTTTAATTATTATTTCAGGTTAATTTTGTTTTTCTGAATTTTCATAGATCTTGAGAGGTATTTTGTCTTTGAGGTATTTTCTGTTTTATTAGTTTGTGTAATTTAATTAATTATATTTATTTTTTTAGTTAGTGTAATTTAATTTTTATTTATGTATTTTTTTCTGTAATTTTTTGAAAGTCGCTATGGGCTATATCATGTTAAATAAATTATATAAAAATTGATTTTATTTAAATTTTAGATTTTACTATTTAATTGTCTATAATTGTTTAATTGTTAGGATATTTTTTTCTGTTTAAGAAGTCGCTATGGGCTATATTATCTTAAATAAATTAATTAAAAACTGACTTTATTTAAATTTTAATTTTTATAATTTAATTATGTGTAACTATTTAATTATGATTATATTTTTTTTCTGTTTGTGAAGTGGTGATAGCCTATACCATTTTAAATAAATTATTTTTAAAAAAAAGTATATTTAAAAATTAAATTTAATATATTTAACTCTGTGTAATTTATTTTGTTATATTACTGTTTAATTTATATTTATTTTAAAAATAATGATATTTAAATTTTAAATTGATTTAATTTAAATCTGTGTAATTTAAAATTATTTAAAAAATAATTTAATTTAAATTTAAAATAATTTTATATCAGTCGTGCTTATACATCAGGTCGTGTCATATTTTATTATTTTGTTATTCTTTTCTTCGTATAATTATTATGAATATTTATAATTTGTGTCAAATTTGACGTTACAGGTGTTGATTTGCGTCCAGACTTTTCTGCGGAGGCTAGTCATCCACCATCCCAGGCAGAACAATTACGTGTTCGAAGAAATCCTCAAAGGACTACAAACTTGGTGGGAACAAGCCTCTTCTTGATTTTTTTGCAAAGCTTCAACCAACTTTGAAACGAAGACTTTCCCAGATGAAACATCGGCTAAAGCACGACTACCACGATTACTAAAATACTCAGCGCACCTGGTATAAGTTGACCGAACTTGTGCAGTGATAGGGAGATTTCTACAATCCTTTAAAATCTTGTTAACACATTCAGATAAATTTGTTGTCATATGACCATATCTTCGACCATCTGCATCATATGCCATGCTCCATTTGTCTTTTGAAATCGCTCCTATCCACCTTTCAACATCAGGGCTAGATTCACAAAACTTTTGCAAATTGCGTTCAAAAATGTGCTTACACGGTATATACCCTGCATACAAATTATAAATAATGCATAATAAAAATTTAGAAATGATTAAAACAATTAAAATAACAATACGTACCTAACTTCACAAACTTTTGTTTTAGTTTCACATCCTTGAATCGAGTATTAAAATTACTTGCAATGTGCCTAATGCAGTACTTGTGATATGCATATGGCGGTCTCCAACCAATTGCCTCATTGTCAATGGCCGATTTAATGCTACGATGTCGGTCAAATATTAAAGATATCCCTTCTTTGTTTGTAACATGTAACCGCAAATGAGATAAGAACCACGACCACACAAGTAATGTTTCTCCTTCAACCACAGCAAATGCAAGAGGAAGAACGTTGTTATTACCATCTTGTGTTGTAGCAATCAGCAATGTACCAAGATACTTGCCATATAGATGAGTTCCATCAACTTGTATCAAGGGTTTACAAAAATTAAAGGCATCACAAACGGCTTGAATGTCCAGAATAATCTGTGAAATTGACGGTAACCACGATGACAACGATTACCAACAAAAAACTCATCATGACACAGATCATAAAATGACCCTGGAGCAATTTCTTTCATGTATTGGAGCCATCGAGGTAAATAAGCATACGATTCTTCCCAATCTCCAAAAATGTTAACAATTGCTTTTTGTTTCGCCATCCAAGCCTTTCTATAAGATATTTTAAACCCAGTTTGAGATGTTATTCTCTCTTGGATAAGGCTAATCTTGATTGATGGATCTTGGTTAACCATTCCTACATATTAAATATTAGTAAACACTAACATAAATTATTATTAATATAAACTATAAACTTTGCAGAACTTACCTTGTATGAATGTTGCAATTAACTCAGAATCTAACTTAGCATGATCTTGGGACAAAGACATGTTCAAACACGTATGACGTCCACCCCACTGAGTCACTTTCCACTTATCAGATCTCTTTGACTCAATGGCTCTCATGTACCATCCACATCCATCATGTGCATTTGGACATCTAACAACCCACTTAGTCTTTTTCGACTCAACCACATAAAAACTTTGATGCATTCTCATTGCATTTTGCTTTACTGCATTTTTAACCGCATCTTTATTCTCAAACTCCAACCCCACATATAAATCTTGGCCAATTGACCAAGTATTACGCAGATCCATCCCTGGGATATCTTCTTCATCGGGATGATTCCAATTGATGTTAGTGTAGTGGGGTAAATTACCTCAAAATTGACTTCCACCTATTTTAATAATAATGAATTTAGTAATTTCAATAAAATCAATTTCAACAATTTATTTTAAACAAATAACAAATTATTGACAAATTTAATTTTCAGATGTTACCTTCAGTAGATGGATACATTGAAATTGGTTCAACCATTGGACTATTAACAATAACATCCGGCTACACCTCATCACCAAATGGTTCACAATCATCAATTTCATCTTCATTGGATTCATCAATGCTTTCATATGATGATGAAACATGATAGTCTTCATCTGCTTCGTCATCTTCATCTTCGTCTCTTGTGATCAAAGGTGATCGTTCAATTGACAAATTTTCTAATGAAAAAGTTGAAGATTCTTGCATACCTATTTCAGCATATAATTCCATTATTGGCATCACATTCTGACTCTGAAATGCTTCTATCATTCATTGTACATCATCATCGTCACTCAATTCCAATGAAGCATATATGTTGTTATCACCTTGTGAAACTAAAAATCTGTAACTTACAGATAATATCACTTGATTTGACTTAAGACCAAATTTGTTGTGAATCCTTCTCTTTAATATATCCAAAGTTATACCTTGTTTAATATACATTCCTTTTCTTGGTCCATCAAATGTTATACCTTCAGCACCTTCATACATCTTTCCAGTGTAAATATAAGCAATCATTTGATCCATAATATCTGCAACAAAAAAATTAATTAGTACAAATAGCTACAATTTATATCTTAACAAAAACAAAATTATACTCACAAATTTCAATCAGAAAGAAACGTAACTGCCTCACAAATTTAAATCAGAGCAAAACGTAACTGGTAAATATATGATTTCAGATGGGAATAAAACGTAACTGGGAGGGTGTATATATACTGATAGTGTCGCTATGGGTCATAGCGACACAGTGTCGCTATGGGTCATAGCGACACAGTGTCGCTATAGGCCATAACGCCACTTTTAAAAATAAGAAAAATACATAAAAAGGAATAAAAATGTATAAAATTAAGAAATTACAGAAAACATACATTTATAAATTTAATGTTATCTGAAAAGAATAATAAAAATTAAAATTTGTAAAAAATAATTTAATTAATAATTAAAAAAAAAAACAAAAAACGCTGGTGGCGCTATGGGCCATAGCGACACAGTGTCGCTATAGGTCATAGCGCCACTTTAAAAATAAGAAAAATAAAAAAAAATGAATAAAAAATGTATAAAATTAAGAAATTACAGAAAACATACATTTATAAATTTAATGTTATGTGAAATGAATAATAAAAAATAAAATTTGTAAAAAAGAATTTAAGTTAATAATTAAAAAAAAAAACAAAAAACGCTGGTGGCGCTATGGGCCATAGCGACACAGTGTCGCTATGGGCCATAGCGACACAGTGTCGCTATAGGCCATAGCGCCACTTTTAAAAATAAGAAAATACAAAAAAACTAATAAAAAATGTATATAAAATTAAGAAATTACAGAAAAAATACATTTATAAATATAATGTTATGTGAATTGAATAATAAAAAATAAAATTAGTAAAAAAGAATTTAAGTTAATATTTAAAACAAAAAACAAAAAACGTGGGTGGCGCTATGGCCTACAACGACACTGTGTCGCTATAGGCCATAACGCCACTTAAAAAATAAATATAATTTAATTTAAAATTAAATTTTTACATACATAACTTAATTTTAATTTTATAAATATATAATAAATAACTCAATTTATTTATTTTATTTTACATTTCTATTATTTTCGTTTTTTTTCTTATAGAGTGTCGCTATGGGCTACGTCATTTTTATTAGTCCATCAACTGTGTTGACCCAGCCTATAGCGACTCTAATGTGGCTCATTCCAGCCCAACCTACACAAAAAAAAAAATGTCACGTGTCACGGGTGTCGCTATAGGCCATAGCGACACCGTTGTAAACAGCCCCAAATGCGTAAATATTTACAAAACAGCCCTATTTACGTAATAAAGTTTTAAAAGGACCTCACTTTGGTCAAAAAGCCGAAAACAAAAGGAACACTAATGACTAATGAATAATGATAATGTTCTAACAGTGGAAATAAGAAACTGTGTGCTTGAAATAAAAATTATTGTTTAATATCAACCTGTATATTTTTAGCTTCGACAATATATATAGGAATGGTTATTTTTATATATCTAATATTTATAATAAATAAATATTTTAAATACATAGATTTTAATTATAATAAATAAATCAATACTTTTAGACATACAATTTATAATTTTAATAAAAGTTATATTTAAAATTTTAGTTAAAATTTATTGAAAATTATAACAACAAAAAAATCAAGAGAGATTTTTATTATATAAGATGAAAAATTCAAAACAAAAAAAAAGATTTCTAAAAAATTTCAATTAATGGAGGAGTGTGTTCAAAATAATGTACTTCTTGTGAACCTATATATAAATAAAAATAATAATTTCACACAAATTAACAAAGATAATTATATGTATTTATTTTTCACTATTTCATATAAAATGTAAGTTGCATTTACTAAAATATCCTTAATCACATTAATTATAGTAGTGCTTTCATTTATTATCTTATAAATATTTTTAGGTTAGGAATAATAAATAAAGTTGACTTAGTTGAAATTTAGTTATATTTGAATTCAAAAAGTTTAATTAAGTATTTTTTGTTGTTGCTGCAATTGTAGTAGCAAAGATAACAAAAGTAATGATTTTATAAGTATGTCTATATATAATTAAATTTTAATCTTAACAATTAATTACTTTTTATCAATAATTTAATATTTAATATTTAGCTTCTTATCTCTTAAATAAAGACATGCTTGCATTGGATGTTCTCTCTCTATATATATATGGAACATATTTGCCAATGCTATCATCGCATTCGTCACTCCCAGTATTGTTATTGTAGTCATGGTTGGTTTTGACATCACATGTAAGCATCAACGATGGTGACAATGACAATAATAATGACATTGGTGGCATTCTACCAACACAATTATTGTCACTTCCATAATTATTGTTATCACTATCATTGCAATTACCACTAGTGATAATGACAATAATGGTGTATACAACAATTTCAGTTGTGACAATGAGTTTTGGTGATATTGATAGTTTTGGAAGAGATAATAATAATTAATACTCTTGTAAATAAGTGTTTATAATTGAATTTTAATCTTATCCCTTAATTATTTTTATCTATAATTTTAAAGGTTATGATTTACTCCTCTCATCTTTCATATAAAAATTAATTCATAAATAATATCATGATAAATAAAAATGAAATAGATAAAAAGTTCAAAAAAATCCTTAACAATCTTCTCATAGAAGAAAAATCTCTAAAATTGTTTTCACTTGTATGCATGCTTGTATGTATGAATGTATGAATAAGGAGAGATTAAATAATTTCAAGAGTAACTCTTGGTAAAGTTACACCACTTATTAAATTTTAACGATCTAACCATTAAATTAAGTTTTTAATATATAAATAAAGTTTATAAATTGCTAAAGAATTTAAAAATCATATAATACTTCATTGTACAAATCAAATCGACGTTCAAAATGCTTTTATGATTACCCGTCAATTTGAATCAATGAAACGAAACATTAAATGATTTTCAAAGTTTTTAAATATTTGTAGACTTGATTTATGCATTAAAAATATTTAATTTAACAGTTAGATAATTGAAATTCAATATATATCATGAGTTATCAAGCATGAAAGTAAAGATCAACAAGTTGTTAGTCTGAGTGGTACTAAACATGTTCTCTTTAAGTGAAGTCCCGGATTTAAGTATTGTGTATGGGAAATAAACATAGTTGGGAAGAAAGACTCCTCTTGTAACATCTTTTTTTTTTTTTTCATAATAAATTAGTAAAATATTTTTAATTTAATTAGTTAGGATACTAGTATATACCAAGAGATATTATAAGATAATTAGTTATTTTGTTATTTTCAAAAGATATATATTCTTGCTTTACTTGCTTTTCATAATTATGTATTTATATATTTTAAAAGATTTTCTAATTAAGTAATTAAGAGATATGATTAAGTTTTATCTTTTTAATATTCAAATTTGTGAGGTTAACTAAAGTAAGCTTTTGTTGACAGGTAGTGTGTGTAGGTAAGGGTCAAGATTTTCTTTTAAATACGCTAATAGTGTTAAGTCTACCTCATCTCACAAAAAATTGATCATACATCTTGTGGTTTGAAGAAAGAGGGGAAAACTAAGGCAGTTGGAGAAAAGCTTGAAGATCAAGATAAGGGAAAGTACGAATCTTGCTCCAGGGTGTAGGGTAATTGTTGGGTAGTAAGATTGACCCAAATCCATAGGATGTGTGTATGTATGTTGGAGAGGGATTAAACTTGATCCTTGTATAAATATATGTTGCATGAATGCAATAATTCAAAGAGTTAATTATCAATACACTGTCAGTGTAAAGTTTTTTTACACTGACAACTAACCATATCTTTTAAAGTTGCTTATTTTATTATTATTTCATTAAATAAGTAACTGACATGTCACTATTAAAAGATATAATTAGTTACAGTGTAAAAAAACTTTACACTAGCAGTGTATATGTGATTAACTCTAATTAAAAATATATATGTATGAGATATCTATTTGTATTGTGATAATGACGTAATTATCTACGAATGCCTATAGATTTCTAGGGAACCCTAAGGATGTCTGTAGATGTTTGTACTTTTTATTTTATTTTATATTTTCACATTTGACGTCCATTGTTAAGACACCCTTTTTTTTACTCTCACGTAAATGAAGACTTTTACCCCGTCAAATACCAAACAAACAATATTATAAAAAAATTAATGATACAAATTAAAAAGATTAAAAAATAGAGAGACTAATAAATCTATTTTAAATTAAAAAAATTAAAAAAATTGTAAAAATTAAATATAAAAACTAAAAAAATCTATTTTAAAC